CCACCGATACCCTCTATCTCCACCACTGGAGCATCTAAATTTTAGAAAAAGGCATGATATTTAATATTTTGGATAATGTTTACATAAATACATGTACCCAATTTCAAATTATATATTTTACTTACTAATTTTTAAATTATTTAAAAAAATTAAAAATATATTTTTTTTAAGTTTAACACCCTGTATCTTTTTAATGAAGCGACTAATCAAAAACTTTATACGAAAGACCCCTTAATATTCGCCAAAGAATGTGGGGTTTCATTTTTGGTGACCGTTTGTGAATCACCCTGTATACTAAAAGCTAGGGAACATCGTATGTTTATAGACTCAGCCTCTTGACTGATCTTTTTGGCTTTTTTTAATATTGTAAGTAATTTACTACTAAAAAATGTCACAAATAGATAATTAGAGATAATAACTAATAATTTCAACTTGTTCGCTACCCATGGAAAATTAGGATAAGCATTGATTTTATAAGTTATGCTATCGGGTAAATCAATGTCAAAGTACCATTGGCTCTCACAAATTTTGGCACAAAGTATATAATTATGTAGGATAGAATCTAGTATTGAGTTTGTTTAAAAGTTTCAGTGCTTCAGGTGGGTGGACCATAAATTATTTTTTTTAATGAGCAATGTATATTCGGAATATTTTATTTTTAGAATGCTGAATCTGTTAAATTAACAATAACATAAATATTTAATTGTACACACTCTTAAAAACATCCCTGTCACCCTTGTTGATTAAAGATGACAGGAATTTTTTTAGAGTAGCTTCCTATCTAAGTTTGGCTGGTTAACTGACTACATTGTATATACTGGGTGTTTAATAAAGAGTGGTCTATACTTTAGAGCTAGCTTCCTTGGATGGAAATAAGGTTATTTAGATCAATTTACCTTAGTACCATCTTGCTCTTCCTTAAGAAGTTATAGGCTCGAGAAAGTAGTTTTTCTATTTCACTTTTTTATGATATTTTATTTATTACTTCGGTATTTTTTCACTGAATAATATGAAATTATATCCAATCTATCAGATACGTTGAAGATAATTAACAGACAATTAAAATGTTGCTATGTTACAATATGTTTAATCTCGATAAATATCATATACGTATACATCACATTTAGAAAAAGATACTATAACAGCATCATACAATGGGTGAATTTGACCCTACACCATTTCTGTATACTAATCCAGTTACTCTCCTATATAGTTTATTCTTTGTGTTTATAGGCCTTCAGGATCCAGGGGACATCACAATTGACTCCATTAAATGTGATAAATTAAACATTTACCTTTATTATTTATTACATTTATTGCTTTTATTACTCTATTACAACATATTATATAACAAATTACCCCTTTTTACAGGATCCCTTCTCTTGTAAAACCAGACAGTATCAACAATTAGGATCTTGTCCTGTATATCTGATGTAGGTACCTGGTAATGTGTACTGAAAACTTACTTACTGTTTACCACACTTGTAAAAAGTTTTATGAAAAAGGAAATTAAATTGTAATAAGAACATGTGACACATAAGTGACATTTTTTGAAGCAAAGTGCTCACTGAAGTATCTCGTCAAAAAAAAAAAATTTAATGATATTTGCTTATTGACTTACTTATTGTTATAAAAAATAATTCAAATATATAAAACAAAAAGTATGTGCCACAGCTTAAAAACAGAAACAAAAAAAATGTAAAATAACAGGTATTTTATAAAAAAATTAAGTCAAAAGTAAAATACAAGAATTGATTTGCTGGAAATTAATTATTTTTGAGGTTTGTCACTTCCATTATCTTTTATCAAAGATGTGTCCTCTTACGCTCTATATTCACTACCAGAATCTTGGAAGGACTATCTATCTGAATTGAAAAAATAAGATGAAGTAAACTTTTCTGTATTTCAAATTCTTGGCCTTTTTCATTTCTATCGATCAGGAGTCCACTTATCTGCTATTCAAGAAATTTACAAAAATCAATATTTCACACCAAAACAAAGCTCGTTTTTACATCATTCTTCAGGGGAACCTCTTTCAGGGTTCTCCTGTAGTGGTAAAGGCTTTTGCCTTGGTAATAACTCATTCAGCTGACACATATGGCGTGAGCACCTATGTGCACAGTGTTTCCTAAGTATATGTAGAAAATTCGATGCATTCTTTGACACATTGTAAGAAGAAACTGTCCCATTCTATTTCTAAGATACCTAGTGTTTAATATAACTATTAGTGAAAACGTTATGCGACAATATTTTTAAAATTTATATAGTTGTGTATAGCAATGAGGATCATGTGTTTATATAAAAGAAAAAAAATTTGACTCATTAGTTGAGTCGTATCAATTCTATGGAACAATAAAACTTGTATCCCACTGTATTTATGGTCATTTGTAAGTTATTTTTTAGATTCTTCATTGAAGGCAGTGAAAAAAATGTCTCATCAGTAAAAATAAGAAAAATTAAAATACTATTGGCATTCTTCACAGTAAATATTTCTTAAAAATACATTTCCTTGAAATACATTTTATTGAATAAGAAAGAAGTATAAACAGTCATGACATGTAGTTAATTTTTTTGTATATTTAACTGTTTGTATGATTTTCTGCAAAATGTGACTTACAATATGATTACATAAATATATACTTTGTGACCCAGGGAAATGGATTTCGGGGGTAGGGTGATGTATAATTGATGTTTAAAAAAAATAAAACAGAAAATGTCAAAAAATCTCACGATGTTCCCGCAACAAACAAAACCCGGAAAAATGACATATATTAACCCGGAGCCCGAAGATGTTCCACCAAAACCCGAAGACTCCGGGTCAAACCCGGAGATCTGGCAGGCCTATCTGTCGGCCAGTTTTAAGGGAAGCTGTAATAATTATATCGTTTCAAATGTGGTAACTTAACTGCCTAGTGAAAAGAACTTGTTTACCAGAAATACGTAAGATAAAAAAGTATCAAAATAAAATAATAATAAACGTCCCCCTGTATCCCAAAAACTAAACACTTGTGGACTTATGTTCTTACAAACTTTCTTTATTTTTGGTCAGAAAATTACTTGTGCAATTTTATCAGTGGAATTTTGCAATACTTTGTGTAACCAGCACTGCATGGCTATTTGATTCTAAAAAATAACTTTTCTAAAGAAACCAAATTATTTTTTTGTGGTGTTCACAGCCTATATATAGGTGACTCAGCTTCAAGTTTATTTCTCTCATCCCATTGTGATATTTTAATTTTTAGATTTAAATATAGATCGTTATGACTTATTCAATGTTCCAATATTTTTTGGCAATTTGTTCTAGACAGAATGGAAAAACCACTGTGGGCTTGTGCTCCTTGTTTTTAGTTTACTTATACAGTGTGTTTTCTAAGACCATGTGATAACTCGGATTATTTTAGGCCAAAAAGCCTTAATGAATGAAGAGCCTAACCACTAATTTTCGAAATATAAGGTTCTGAATGAATTTGTTTGATATCTTAAGAGATATTCGAATTAAATATATTTTTTAAATTTCAACACCAAAATAATATCCGAAAGCCAGGGGCTTTAGACTCTTGGCTTAGACTTTAGCAAATACTCTGTAATTATTTTAATAGATTATGGTGCTTATAATATTTGGTAACATGCAGAAGTAAAATATCTTTCTGGAGAAGCTGATGGAATAGGCATCAAAGCGATAGGGAAAATTTAATTACTGTTAAAATACTTGCAAGAAACTTTCTACATTTTTTAACATAAAAAATATAAAAAAAATGTTTATTATTTATAATAATTTTTTATCTTGCTGCACCGAAAAAAAATATAAATTACATTGTACCTAACAATCCCATACCTAAAGAATCAGCCAAAGGGCGATCTTCATAAACTTTTACTTGACAAGAAAATTTTACAATGAGAAAGTAGATAATTATTTTTAAATAAACAACCAGTGAGATTTTGCATCAAGATAATTGGAGTTTACTCCGTAACTTTAATATGGCTTCATAATTCTTCAATTAAATTTCTTCAAGTACCTATATACCTACAGTATTCATAGATTTTATTATTAATTCACTGATTCTCTATTCTGTTTCACATTTTTTATTATGAAAAACCAACTTGTATTATATTACAGCATATGAAAGAAAGTTTTTAAGTTTACTGATGACGACAGCGATAACTCTGTATACTTCTGTGATGATGTTACATCTAGAAAACTGTTTTTTGCACCACTGGACAATTCAGTGCAATTAACATTGTATTTTAATAATCACGTTCTTACATGATTATGATATGATGTATGAATGTCATTTTTTAAAGGAGACACAATATGAGGACGTAAGTCTAATTATAGCTAAATCAAATAATATTTTATTCTATGGGTAGTAGTTTTATATGTACTATTTAGTTATTTATATGTTTGTATGTATTTTGTTATTTATATATTGCATTACAGAATATTATTCCCGTATGAAAATATACATGGTTACATAAAAACTATTTTTTTAATTCACTACGATACAATATATGTATAAATTTTTATACATACAGGGAAGGAAAGTACCGATGGTCTATCTAAAGTTATGTGAGAGCGATAAAGTAAGCCATAAATATCCATGCGATAGAGAAGGATGGCTATAATGAAGGCGTCTCTTAGTCACCGCCCGTTTCGCCCTTCCACAATTAAGATCCATTTCTTATTTGTGGAAGGGCGAAATGGGCATTGACTATTAGACGCCTTCATTATAGTTATCCTTGTCTATCACATGGATTTCTATGGCTTATTTTATCGCTCTCATGTAACTTCTGATAGACCATCGGTACTTTCCTACACTGTATATTACTAGACAAACATAATTTATATTAATTTTCCTCAAGAGTTAATTGTTTTACCTATTTAGAAATCAGTTTTACTAAATATGCCAATGAGTTAATGTAAGTATAGTTAATAAATAATTAAATCAATGATATGCTCAATTTTTAAACACTGTGGGTCTTTTAAGCATTTTTGAATTTAGCGGTATTGCCTTCTCTAGCCATCTAGCGACGATGAATCGAATTTAACTATAAACTTCCTTTCTCTTCCGCTTTCTTGTGTCAGCGTTAAAGGTTGGTATTTATTTTGCAAAAATTAAAAATCTTTGATCATCTGCAAAAGTATGAAATATTTGTGATGTTAATGAAATAATCTGCAAGTAAAAAGTTACTCTACAAGCCTTCAAAACTATATTTACCCAAAACTTTGCCAAATAAGTGCTCAAAACAATTTTGTAGGTTATGTCGTACATATATTTAGTTATACATTTTACTATAACTTGTACCTATTAATATTTGGGACTTCAGTATGTATTAATATTACTTAATATCTCCATCTTTCTTTTTAGTTTGACAATGAAGCAAATCGTAACTAATCAAACGGTAAAAATCCCAGAAGGGATTACTGTAACTGCAAAGTCTCGCCTAATTACAGTAAAGGGGCCAAGAGGAGTTCTAAAACGTTCCTTCAAACATTTGGCTTTGGACATCCGTATGGTAACTCCTAGGCTACTCAAAGTAGAGAAATGGTTTGGTACCAAAAAAGAATTGGCTGCCGTAAGAACTGTGTGCTCCCATGTCGAAAATATGTTGAAAGGAGTTACAAAAGGCTACCAATATAAGATGAGAGCAGTATATGCTCATTTTCCTATTAATTGTGTTACTACTGAAAACAACTCGGTAATTGAAATTAGGAACTTCTTGGGAGAAAAATATATCAGGAGGTAAGTAAATGTTTGTTTTATTTTTTCAGGCTAGCAGTAATTATTTTATTAATATTTCAAAGCAATATAAACTAGGTGTATTAGGGATCATACTTTATAAGTAGTGGAAGAATTAAAAATATTTAGTAAAGTATAATTTTTATGTATCATGGAAACTTCAACTGTTCATTTTAAGGGTGTTATTCTCACAAAATAGTGTTTTCTACAAAGTTGAACATAAACAGAAGGAAGGAGGTGTAGATCTTTTAATTGAATGACAAATTTTTCTTTAAAAAATACATGAAAACTAAATTCTATTTTGTGATGCCACAGTAAAATCATTTCAATAAGTTTGCATATTAATACTAGTGAAAATAAAAACTACAATTCTAGCACATTATTTCTTTATATTATTTTTTATTTTTCATTTGCAGATACATAAATTTTATATTAAATATATAAAACTTGTATTCTTTGTAAATTGTTATGTATTTGTTTTTTGAGTTAAACCATTCCAGAAATTTTTTTTGTATTTGTTTTTATATAATATTTAAAACATAACTTTCTACGTAATATAATAATTAGAGCTTGGGGTTTTCGTCGGCTAGTCATAGTGTGTGTGTTCGTCATAAACAAATAAATAACAGGTAGGTATAAATAAAAATAAATAAATTTGCGTACTTTATCAGGGAAGGTTCGTTTTTTACCCCTTGGCACGTTCGACATTATTAGAATATTGAAACTCGTATATACGAAGCAAATGCGAAGCCAATAACTGCCGTTATTACTAGTTTCGTACGGTGCATTGTAGCAAAAGGCCGACGCGAAGGCTATGATCATCTGACTGAGTCCCGAGCTCTAATAAATATTATAAATAAATTAATTAAATGATAGAAATACATAGTGATGGTTTAAAACAAAACAAAAAAATATATATATTAGCATGCTCATAGTTATAGAGATGAAGCAGTATTGTTTTTTTGTTTTCAGACTGAAAACTGTTTAAAAAAAGCATAGCCTTCTAGTATGTTCAGTCATGCATGTATTCAGAATTGTATAAATTGCACAATTAGTCCAAGCATTCTGTCACGGATTAATGTTAAATTTGCAGAAATTATTACCTGGACAAAAAAAATATGACCGTATAGAAAACTAAATTTTAAATTGAGTTTCTTGTTCTTTAAACTCAACCCAATATAGCAAACATGGTTAAAAAAAATCGCAAAGTTGAAAAAAACGGTTTTTCTAAAATAACTAAAAAAATATAGCTGAAATGTTTACATTTTATGGCAAAGGTTGATTAATTTTTGTGACAAATACCGTATAAACCAGGGGTCGGCAAGTAATTTTAGGTGGGGTCTGGATACTTTTGAAAATTTTTAACGAGGTCCAGAAAAAAATTCATATTTCTTATTTTTTATTTTAATTTGGACTCAAATTTAATCTGCTTACTAACCATTAAGAACTCAAAACACTCACACAATTG